GGTTTGGATGTCAGTAGTGGAGCTAGGCATGTCGTTGTTTCTCAGGTACAAAATCTCTATTCCGTTTTTGTTGATTCTTGTAGAATTGCAAATGTACTATGTAAGCTCGAGGGAGATATCCAAAGTTGACACTTTCAACTAAGTAGTTTCCCAATCCTATGAAATTTGTGTTTAGTAATCTCATCTCTTTCACATTGTTAGGTTCTGGAGCTTGGAATCGTATCACACTCGATTATCATCGGTATTTCCCTTGGAGTATCTCAGTCTCCTTGCACGATACGGCCTCTAATCGCAGCACTATCGTTCCACCAATTCTTTGAAGGATTTGCGCTCGGTGGATGCATCTCCCAAGCGCAATTCAAGAACAAATCAGCAACCATAATGGCTTGCTTTTTCGCCCTAACAACACCGATAGGGATAGGGATCGGAACTGCCGTGGCATCGTCTTTCAATTCTCACAGCGTCGGAGCATTGGTCACAGAAGGTATCTTGGATTCACTCTCAGCCGGGATTCTTGTGTACATGGCTTTAGTAGATCTGATAGCTGCAGATTTCTTGAGTAAGAGAATGAGCTGTAACTTTAGGCTTCAAATTGTTTCTTATTTGATGTTGTTCCTCGGAGCTGGACTCATGTCTTCCCTTGCTATTTGGGCTTAGATTGTTCGATTCCATAATTTATGTCATAGTTGCAAAAAATGTCACAATGTGTATAGTTGTAGTAATAATCAATCTCGTATTTCACAATTTATCGCTCCTCGGTGTTATCGTTGTTCTTTGAGCTCGGGAGATTAGATTAGAGAATGCATTTGTTTCAATAGTTTAAACTGTTATCCATTGATCTTAGCAAAAGGTGGGCTAAACCAGGGAAAAATTACAAGAGAGAACAAATAGATTGTAGCAAGTAACAACAAACTCAACCCAAAATGTAGAAACTTATAAAGACATGATTATGAAGATGAAGATTTTTTTAGGCCATGTCATCTTCTTTGTGGGTTTCAATGGTAACATCAGAGGTAGGATAAGCAGCACAAGTGAGAACAAATCCTTCACCAATCTGGTCATCATCGAGGAAACTCTGGTCAGACTGATCAACATCTCCAGACACAACTTTACCTGCACAGCTTGAACAAGAACCAGCACGGCAAGAGTAAGGCAAATCGAGTCCTGCTTCTTCGGCTGCGTCGAGGATGTAAACGTCGTCAGGACACTCGATCTCTTGTTCACCATCGGGAGTGATCAATTTGACCTTGTATGTAGCCATGGCGGTGACACGTCCGCCGCGAACGGTGGATGATTTGAGACCGAAGAGGGATTGTGTGTTGGAAGGAGAGAGGGAACGGAGGCTTGTTGTCGGAGCTGTGTGACGGCGGATGAATGAAGTTCCGACGATGGCGCTTGAGAGAGCAGTGGAAGCCA